CTGAGAGTCACAGATCTGACCTCGCTCCGTGTGACTATCCGCAGCCACGGAAGGGCTCGCTCGGCATATTTTCGGCTTTGCAGTACTCGGTTCCCCTTTTCCCATCCTCCGAATCTGCACGCCATTCTATCCCTCTGACAAAAGCAGCCACGGCCCGAGTAAAAAAGCCTGCCCCCTGCTGCAGAGAATGAGCTTTGTGGGTCCTATGTGGAAGCAGTGGTCCCTCTGCAGAGATCCGGCATTCCATGTTGAGCACTAACACAACAGGAGGGGTGTTAGATCTCTGCAGAGAGGCCGCTGCTTCCTTCTGTGCATTGTGTACTCAATCTATGGAATGCACTGATAGCAGCAATACACAGGCAGCCTTGGATAAAAGTCAACATCACATGATAAGTATCGGGCTCGGCAGGAACGCGGCGACGCAGACAATGGCCGCCACCGGCTATCTGACCATCAGGAACCTTTGTACTGCAGTAAACCCGACTCCTGGGATCCCGGCCCCTGAGATACGACCGATAATGAGATCCATGGATCATAAAGAATATACATCGCCTTCACCTGGGGTAGACTTGTGTCCGTAGACTCCATTAAAGAACGCCGGCATTCGTATGCTGCCTCCGATATCAGAGCCGACGCCGATCACCGACCCGGCGGACCCCAATATGCAGCCTTCCCCTCCTAGAAAACAGGACAATACAGACACCGGATCACAGGAGGTTCCTTCAGTTTTGTGCCATTTATACAGATGGTGTTGATGGGCTTTTGTTCACTTTAAGCCGGTTGTCATACAAGTCCATGGGGGACGCAAAATCCACTTTAAGGGGGTCAAGTGCAGGAGGAGGTCAAGAACCTCAGTTTCATGCCATTTATAGGGCCGGTGTTGATGGGCTTTTGTTGGCGTCAAGCCGGTTTGGCACTCCCATACAAGTCCACGGGGATGCAAAATCTGCTTGAAGGGGGTCAAGTGCAGGAGGAGGTCAAGAGCAGGTCAGAAGGGGATGAGGAGTGGGTCAGGAGGAGGTCCAGAGCCAGTCAGAAGGAGGTCAAGTTCAAGAGTGGGTCAGAAGGGGATGAGGAGCGGGTCAGGAGGGGATGAGGAGTGGGTCAGGAGGAGGTCCAGAGCCAGTCAGAAGGAGGTCAAGTTCAAGAGTGGGTCAGAAGGGGATGAGGAGCGGCTCAAGGGCCAGTCGGAAGAAGGTCAAGAGACGGTCGGAAGAAGGTCAAGAGACGGTCAGTCGGAAAGGAGATCAGGAGCTGGTCAGAAGGAGATCAGGACTAGGCCAAAAGGAGGTCAAGTGTAGGCCAAATGCACCTCTCAATGAGTTCGGAAGGATCTTGGAAGCATCTCAAACTGATGCCAATTGTCAAAAGCTCGAGGCCAGTTCACACAGGTCCACAGCGTGACATAAATCCCGATATTAATTATTTAAATATTATAAAACATATAATTAATATGTAAGAAAACGAGTCCCAATAGACACCACATGGACCAAACCTGGTGGACACCTGACCAACATCACACCTATATGAGCTTGTTGGACATCCCATTTCAAAACCAACCATGGCCATTAATATGGCGTTGGCTCCCTTTATGGCTATAACATCCTCCACTCTTCTGGGAAGGCTTTCCATCATATTATGGAGGGTATCTGAGGCCTATTAGTGAGGTCAGGTTCTGATGTTGGATGAGAAGACCTGGCTCGCCATTGGTGTCCAGTAGTGTTGAGGTCTTGGCTCTGTAGAGGACTCGAGTTCCTCCACACCACACTGGTCACACCATGTCTTTATATATCTGACTTGGTACACAGTCATGGTCAGTAGGGTTGAGGTCAAGGCTCTGTAGAGGACAATCGAGTTCCTCCACCAAGCTGGTCACCCCATGTCTACAATGTATGTCCAGATGTTTGTGGTCACCTGACCATTCAGGGCCCTGATGTCACCTTCCCATTCACTTACCAGAGCTTCCTCCGACTATGTGCCGAGGGTTATACGGGTTCCTGGTCTTCCCGTAGACTTTATTACTGGACTCGTACCACATGCACAGCTCGCTGCAGTTGGTGACGCCAAGAGGAATGGCTCCAGCTGCCTTTAACCTCGAAACGACAACCGCATCCGTCGTCGAGCGCAACGACCTTCTAGAGATCAGCCCAGAGCTCTGCGGCATGCCTAAAAACCGTACACAGGACCAGAAAAGAAATGGAGGTCAACCATCTATAAAAGTCCTTTAGATCTAAGAATCCATTACCTATGACCAAGTCCGCGTACATTGTATCATATCGATGGGTCCCTGATGAAGGGGGTGATGCTTCAGCCTCGAAACGCGTTGGCTTTGTGCGGAATCTCATTGACAGCATTGTATGCATCGATGACAATAAGACGGTACCCACCTTGTAAGGCGAATGCTTCCTTCACCGATAAGGGGACGCCAAGAAGAGGGTACTTCTCTTTAATGGTTGCCTCGTCCTCCGCCTTGGAGGCCACCAAGTCATCCACCGCCCGCGCCTCGCAAAGGGCTTCCTCGAAACGGTCACATACCATAGCATTGAGGGCGGGGTTCACCTCTCTGATCCTGGAGATGAAGGCCTGCACCACGACACTGCTCTTCAGCTGAAAGGAGAGGAACGTTCAGAGTGACGGGGCCGGGAGAGGAGAGTTCAGAGTGACGGGGAAAGGGCCGGGAGAGGAGAGTTCAGAGTGACAAGGCCAAGAAAGAGAGGAGTGTCCATGTCGGGGGCGCGGCCGGGAGAGGAGTGTCCATGTTGGGGGCAGCGGCCGGCAGAGCAGCGTCCCTGTCGGGGGCGCAGCCGGGAGAGGA